TACCCTAAGAAAAATAGAGCTGAGACACAGAGATTTGTACACTAATCTTCATAGCAGCATTATTCACAACAGCAAGAACATGGAAATAGCCCAGAGTCCGTGAACAAATGGATAGATTGAAAAACTGTAGTACATTCACACAGTGGAATACTATGCAGCACACAAGAAAAATTATTTCAAAAAATATAACATGGAGAAGCTAGCGAGTGCATTATGCTGAATGAAATAACTTGGTCTCCTAAGGACAAATACTGTATAAGATCATTGTAAAAATAGAAGGATAACTAGTAAGATGTGTATAAAAATCTAAAGGGGGCAAGGATGCATGAAAGGGGACTGAAAGTAGAAAGGGGGAGTCATGGGGTCACAGAGTTGCTGGGCAAAGGGATTGAACGAAGGAATTAGGAAAGCCAGTGGAGACCTGAAAAGATGGAGTAACAGTGGGCATAACGGATCAGTAATGATTAATTTTGTAAAACACAATGTATATGAACGATCATATTAAATACATTGTGAATGAAAGAAACAGTGTATAATGAATGAAACACGATGTAAACAAATTTTATGTGTAAACCAATATAATAAATTTTTAAAAAGACTTACTTTTGGAAAATCTACTGTTATGAACCTCTCCAAAGTTCACTTCTGCATCTGTTGGACAGTGAATAAGAATGTCAAAAGAAGAATTGATGCCTTTGAAATGTGACATTGGAGAAAAGTACAGAACATCCTCTGGACTGCATAAAGAGCAAACTAGTCTATCTTGGACAAAGTATAAGCAGACTGCTCCTTAGAGGCAAGGCTGGTGAAATGTTGCCTCCCGTATTTTGGGTATGTTATCAGGAAGAGCTATTCTTGGAAAAAGTTACCATGCTGGGAAAGAGGGAGGGTCAAAGAAAGAGAAGAAGACCTAAGCTAGAGAGATGGGCACAGAGGCTTTAACAGTGGCTCCAACATACCAGAAATGATAAGGATGGAGCAGGACAAGGTTCAGATCTCTTGTTCACAGGGTTGTTGTGAGTCACGGTCTCCTCGATGGCATCTAACAGCCACACGATCCTGACTTGGAGGCAGCACGTGTGTGCACGGTAGAACCTGCTCAGTACTGATGTCGATATTTATGCAGAGTAAGTTGAGTCCTGCCAGAGTGATTAGAAGTCTTCACGTGGGTAAATAAACACTGTAGTGGTAATTAAATAAAATTTATAACATCCGTCTTTGAATATTGCAAAGAAATATTCAGCTGCATGCCTGCTTAATATTATTTCAAATTACAGCAGTTTCTGTTTTAATAAAATTAGAAAGTTTTAATGGAGAGAAAATTTGAATTTTATAGACATAAATTTATTGATTGTACTTTTAATTGCACATTGTTCCTTGTTAGTAAGTAGAAATAATTTATTTTTTATATTACCTTCATATCTTGCATCGTTGCAGGACTCACCTAACAGCATTTTCTTAGATTGTTATTGTTGATTGCCTTTGAGTCGAGCGCGACTCACAGCGACCCTATGAACAAAAGGCTTTGAAGCCTTTTTATAACTCTTGAAATCTCTCAAAGTTCACGGAGTTTCCAGAGGCATGTTTTCTAGGAACTGGATGCCACTCCTACTTCCAAAATCTCTTTTGTAGATTACTTAAGATTTCCTACATACGCTGTCTCTCTAGAAAAATTTTTCCTTTCTAGTCCGTATGTGTCTTAAGTTTTTCTGCTTCAGCTCTGGTGACATAGTCCACTGGGAATTGCACTGCTTACCCAAAAGGCTCTCTCTGGCAGTTCAAATCCAACAGTGGCTTTGGGGAGAAAGATGGACAGTCACCTTTCATGAGATTTAAACTGTGGAAGCGCAGAGGACGGTCAGATGTAAGTTGGTTCTGACTCAACACTGAGTTGGGTGTTGACCAAAACTAAGAATTGTCTCTCGCCATCTTGTTCCAGCTCTTGGAGTCAAAGTGTTCTGTTTCCTTATGACATTGTTCAGGTTGGTGCCAGCTCATAATGAATGACCCTCTGTACAAACAGACACAGAAGCTTCCCCGTGCTGTCCCATCCTCACAGTCTCGCTGTGCTTACGCCTGTCATGGTCATCATGGTGGCAGGCCACCTTGTTGAGGTTCCCTCTGGTTTGAAGACTTCCTGCTTTACCAAGCATGATGACTGGCCTTTCTTGATACCATGCCCAAAATATTGATTGGAGACTTAAGTTTCTCCATCCTCGTTTCTAAGGAACATTTTACTGTACTTCTTGGATTTGTTTAGTCTTTTGGCAGTACATGACATATGCAATATTTTTTACCAGCATCGCAATTCAAAGGCACCAGTTTTTCTTTGGTCTTATCATTGTCTGTCTTTCACTTGCATGTGATAAGTTGAAAATGCCGTGGCTTGGGCCAGTTATAGATGATGTATGGTAAGTGTGATGTGTTATGTGTTGTTGAATTGACTACCACTCATAGCAGCCCTGTGAACAGTGGCACTGAACGTTGCCTTATCCTGAGCCAACCTCACCACCTCTGATACAGCTGGACCCCATTGCTGCAGTCATCGTATCAGTCCATCTCATCCAGAGTCTTCCTTTCTTACCCTGATTTTCTACCCATGATGTCCTTCTCCAAGAACTGGCCCCTTCTAGCAACATGGCCAGAGGAAGTGAGACAGATCTTCAAAATCCTCACCTTGAGGAAGCAGCTTGGTTTCACTCTCTCTAGGACAAACCTGTTTTTTTCTCCTGGCAGTCCATGATATGCTCAGCACTCTTCTCCAGCACCATGGCCCAAAGGCACCAGTTCTTCTGTCATCCTTAGTCATTGTCTAGCTCTCACATGTGCTTACTTCAACAGCACATATACCAAAATTGAAACCATACAGAGAAGAGAAAAAAGTATGGTATTAGGTGTATATTTTTCATAACACCTTTCTGTCCATCTGAGGAATTTCTTTTCACTTTCTAATCTTCTGGGTGTTCTATCATGAATTTAATTTTGCAGAATCTTTTTTCTGTATTTAAATTAACTAATTTGTTTGTTATCATTTGATCTGGTAATACTGTTTTCCCAATTATAAAGCATATATTTCTTGGGATGTCTCTATTTGGACATGATACTTTTTGTTTTATATATTGCTGCATTTTATTTCCTACCAGATTTTGTGTCTTTGTTTCTGAGGAGTAAAGATCTGTAGTTTTCTTTATCATTGTTAGGCTCATAAAATGATGAACTAGTCCCTCATAATTTTTATTTCTCTAAGGCTGTGTATAGAATTGTCTTTCCAGGCATGGTTAATAGAGTTAAGCACTAAAATCACTGGGTCCTTCCTGGAGTTTTCCTAGCAGGTAAGTTTTAAATGGCAAATTCAGTGCTTTTAGTTGAACCAGACAGCTCTCTACTTCCTCCTGAGTTGAGTTCAACCCAGAATGCATCCATTTCATGTATAATAATTACTGCCAGATTGTTGTTAATATTTCTCAATTATTCTTCCAGCGCCTATAGGCTGAGTTGGAATTGAGTCGGTGATAACAGATTTGGATTTAATTTTAAATAATATGTTCAAGTTACATAGGATAGCAGCTTACGATTGTGAGTTTGAATCCTTTTTACTTATATAGACATTTATTTAGTGCTGTAAATAATATTCTAAGCAGTTCTATTCCACTTATATGGTTTTACTTTTCTTTCAAGTAAAATTATTTTCTCATGTCTTTGATTTTTTAGTATGCTAAGAATTTTTTTTTAAAGTACTTGAGACTTTTTCAGATACCTTTTTTTGTTTAGGCTTCTCATTGGATACTGTGATTAGAGAGCATGCCTTGTATGCTTTTAATCCTCTTAAATTGGAGCATTTCTCTCATGCCGCTGCGTCTCTTCGTCTGTGCTCTTGTGTGCTTGTACAGAATGTGTGTCCTGCTGGTTTGGGAAGTAGTAGTCTACGCGTGCCACTGACGTTGGTCATGTTTTTCAAATTTTCTGTATCCTTGTCCTGTCACTTACCTACAGAGGAGTCTTTCAATTAAAATGAAAGTAGAAGCTTATAATACTGAAGTGATTTGGGAGTTACAAGGGCTAAAGATTTGTCATTTTTAAGGGAGTTTATTTATTTAACATGATGCAGAATCACTCAGTTGGGTTGAAACAACAATTCTTCCATCTGTCCATCCCCTTAGCCACCCCACTGAGTCCATTCTTCTGATAAATAAAAATAAAATTTTTTTAAAAAAAACCACAAAACACAAAAACACCACATGTATCTATTTGGGGGATTAAAGCATAAGTGAAATAATTTAAATATTAGAATCATTTTAATAATACCATTGTGTTGTTATTTAAAACAAACAAATTGCAAGCCATAGCATCAAATGGTCATTTCGTCTGCTAATTTCTATTTTTATGCTCCCTTTGACCTGTCCAGTGGCCTTGTATCTCTTCTTCCTGTTGGTTTTTTTTTAACTCTGATTAATGAGCTCCGGTAGCATAGTCCACAGGGAGTTGTGCTACTGACCCAAAGTTGGCACCTCTCTGGTGGTTTAGATCTACCAGCAGCCCCAAGAAGGAAAAATAGGCAGTCTCCTCCATGCCGTTTACAGCCTTGGGAAACCTGCTGGAAGATCAGCCAGGAGTTGGAGTTTTTAGAGTCCTAATTGGGTATAGGTCATCTTAACTATAGAAATGTTTTCTTCTTGACATGTTTGTATACCTTGCAATACAGTATAAAATGTGAAAGTATTGGTACAGTAGATATACTTGTAATTCCTGCCCCATCCCAGCAAAAATATAACCTCCTTACTGTTGTATTGATTGCAACCCATAATGACCCTACAGAACAGAGTAGGGTTTCCAAGCCTGTGGTCTTCACAGAAGCAGACTGCCACGCCTCACTGCCTCAGAGCACCTGCTGGGTTTGAATCACTGGCCTCACTGTCCCTTAGATCAACCTGCAGTGGCTATGAAATCAGCCCACATTGCTTCACTGACTGACTCTCAAATCTGTTTTTCTTTTTGCTCAGATAAATCAAGAAAACTGGTGTACAATAGAACCATGCCCTGAAGCTTCATCTCTTTTGGCTCCCAAAGAAAGCCCAGGTAAGCAGAATTTTCCCAATATGCTTGAGTAACTGCATCTAAAAATACCCGTTTCCTGGATCCATTAAAAATCAAACAGAAACCCCAGAAAAGTCAAACCTTTGGGACCAAGTGATTTCGGAATCTTCACCACCCACACAGCTACAGTCCTTATGCAAGCAAACAGCACATCTCCCTTCCTGGGAGCCGTGAGTACATTACGCTGCAGATCTCCTGGTGAGCACCCGAGGCTTAGCCAGTGTCACCAGGGCTGCCCACTCTACAAACCATCTTGACTCTCTAAGTAGCTTACCAGAGGAAGGGAACATATGTAGGTTGGATTTGTTAAGTGTTTTGTCTCAGAACCAAAAATGTGTGTATGTGGTTACCTAAATTTCACTTTTAGTAGTAGCAAATTCTGAAAATTTTCACATGTGATTTACTACCTCATCTATTTTCTTTTAAAAAAAAATACTGTTATTTTTGTGTGCGTACCATCAAATCGGATCTGATTGGTACAGGAGGAGATTGTCCTGCCTTCTCAGCAGAGCATCTGGTGGATTCGAACCATGCACCTCAGGGGTTGTAGTGGAGCTTTTTGCCACTAGGTCACCAGAGCTCGCCTACTACCTCATCTATGAAGGCACCTGTGCTGTGCATGTACTTTTGGTATATGTTGTTGTTGTTGTTGTTGTTGTTGTTATGTGCCGTCGAGTCGACAGTCAAATCATAGCGACCCTGTGTTCAACAGCTCTGAAGCCTATGCTGTCCTGAGCCAGTCTCACTAATTCTGACACACCAACCCCTATTGCACCAGTTACTCTGTCAGTCCATCTGGCTGGGGTCTTCCTCTCCTGCACTGTCCTTCCATTCTTCCGAGCGTGATGTCCTTCTCCAGAGATTCATCCCTACTGGCCAAGTGCCCAAAGTTTGTGAGACAGAGCTTCAAACTCTTTGTCTCCAAGGAGAAACTTGGCTTCACTGACTTCAAGACAGACTTATTTGTCTTATAAACAAGTTCTGGTAAAACAATGAATATATATTATTAAAGAGTAAAGTTACAGTTCTTAGTAGTTGCTGCAAATTGGACTTATCTGGGGAGTTTTAAAAATATCCAGATTCTATTCCCAAAAGTTCTAATAGAATTAGCCTGATGATAGAATCTTTAAAAGCTTTTTTTGGTTTCTCTGCTGGAAAGCCAGAGTTGAATACCATGACACTTCCAGTGTTGCCTTTGTCTTGAATTTCCTTAAGCTTCTATGATGTCCTAACAACACGTGGAAGCGCAAGGCTGTGGTTAGTTTAAGATCCCCAATTTTGAGCTCCAGTTCATGAATACCTATGTGCACCATTGTCTCCCATCTGTAAAATGTTGCTGTTAGGTACCATCGAGTAAGAACTGCCTCCTAGCGGACTCTGCAATAGGTTTTCAGAGGCAGTAAATCTCACAGGAGCAAACTGTCCATCTTTCTCCCATCGTGCAGCTCATGCCTTTCAGTTGGCATTGTAGCTCCTTACCCACCAGGCTACCAGTACTCCCTTAAAGTACTTGTTACTAGCTTGCCTCATGTGAGAGTGGGAGATGGAGTGTTGTAAGGATGATGTGTGTGGTAATTTAAGTTTTTTTATCCGTTGCTACAGCTGCCAAGTGTACACACTGGTGCTTCTCATTCTGGGCTCTTAACTCTTCTTTACCCAACACCTTCTCTGTTTAACTCATTGGTTTCCAACGACCAGCTTTAACAATTGCTGATTTCTTCTTTACTAGTAATTTTTTACATATTTTAACCAGGAGCCCTGGTGATACAGTAGTTAATAACAGTGAAATGCACCCAGTGCTCTGAGGAAGAAAAATGTGGCCACTGCTCCAAGAAGGGAGGGCTACGTTGGGTAGGTCTGCCCTGGCCTGGAGTCGATTGAGTTGGGATGCACATCACAGCCATGGGCTTGGTTCATGTGTCCTCTCTCTAGAGATGGCCTGCTCATTCTGAACACTGCTTATCCCGAACTCTTGGATCTTACTGCAGAAGAATTGTTGGGAATAAAAAATGAGACGTATCCCCTCTTTATGTAGAAAAAGTTTGTAAGGTCTGTTACTATCCTACAGTTATGTTGGCGTTTTCCAAGTTTGGTGAAGTTTGACCCTGTTCACAGATTTAGCTGACATTTTGCCTCCTGGAATCGCTTACTTTAAAATGCACTACTTCCTGCATTTTGATTCCTTAAACTGTTTGGGGCTTTTTCGAAAGTGTAATTATTCCCAACCACCCAAGCAGTGCAATTTTTCTGCTTTGTAAAGGTTAAATGAGGTTGCTTCATAATTTGGCGATTACGGGAAATATCCCCACACATTTTTCTAATCCACTCATTTAAAGAGGTGAATTTTTACCCCTCAGCATTTCCCCATGGCATTATCTTGATTTTTGTAAACACAAACAGGTCTTTCTGGAGTAATTCTTTACGAACCCTTAATTAAAAAAATGTTGCTTACAGGTATAGTGGATTATGACTCCTATGTATTTCCATTTTACAGATCCCTTTTCTTTAGTTGACAAATACATAATGATTAAGAAAGCAGTAACATTGACCAAATAAGATTGTATCTTTGAAAATTACTTTCAATGCTGAATAAATGCAAGATTGGATTCTGATTAGCAGGGCTTGACAAAGCCCAGCGGGTGCTGCTGTTTATTTTCTTATCTTTCCCAATTATGAATTGTTTGCACATATGCATTTTAAATCCAAATGACTATATAACATCTTAAAAAATACTCTTCTATTAAAAAGCTAATGTCTCTGGACACAAAAGATGCAGACACATTTATAGACGTGTCAAAACGTGGGACTGACCCCTGCTATGCCCACCTTGTCTTCCTGGGTTACACAGAGAAACATACACTCCGAGTTAATGGAGCCTTAACTTCATTCAGTAATGTGCCCTGATGGCCTTGTGGTAAGAAGTAGTAGAGGCAACTTGAAGGCACACAGTTCGAATCTACCCACTGCTCTGATGGAAGGGAGGAAATCACCCGTCTTTGGCAATCTGGAGGGTTAGCTCTGAGTCAGTTCAGACTTGATGGCACGTAAGAACAACAGCAGAGAGAGAGAGAACGTGTGTGTATTGAGAATCAACGTTTGAATAACATTAAACTGAAACCAAACATAAGGTGCCATTGAGAGGATTGGGACTCATAGCGACCCTGTAGGACAGAGTTGAACAGTCTAGTAGCTTTTCCAAGGCTATAGTCTTCCAAAATGACACCAGGAACTCTGTTGGTGCATTCAGTCACTAAGCAGAAAGTCATGGACTCAAATCTGTTAGATACACGGAGTGGCTGGTGACTTCGAACTGCTGACTGTTGGTTAGCTGCTGAGTGCTTAACTTGTCAGAAGTGAAAAGTGCCACTCAGGCTCTTGGGTTGTTGTTGGATGCTGTTGAGTGACTCCTAGCATCCAGGTGAACAGCCCACCTGACCCCTGTCCTGTCCTGTCCTGTCCTAACCATCTCGGACACACTCTAGCCCATGGCTGAAGTCACTACATCAGTACACCTTGTTGGAGGTCTCCTCTCCTTTGCTGACCCTCCATCTTTCTAGTCATGATGTCCCTTTCCAAGGAATGGCCACGTCTGACTACGTGTCCAAATTGTGAGAAACAAAGCTTCTCCATCATTTCTTCCAGGGACCAATCTGCTGAACTTTTTCTAAGATACATCTGTTTATTCTTTTGGCAGCCCATGGGATATTCAGATTATGTATATATTATATCCAGTCATTACCACAGTTCTTTTAGGGAAGTACTAATTATCTCATTTCCCTGATGTAGAGACTAATACTTAGAGGGGTTAAATTATCTCTTGAAACTAATACGTAGAGGGGTTAAATTATCTCTTGCATGAAATCCTTCTGCCACTAAACATTGAGATCTAAATTTAAGCCAGGTCAGGCTATTCTAATCATTCTCGTTGCTCTTGTTTATACCTTGATGTGGCATTCCCTCTTTATTAGAAAGATTTGTGAAAGAGGAAAACTGAGATTTAATTATGAAAATTTGGCATGTGTGACATAAGGTATGGAGTCAGCTTACAGTGAAGTGTTTTAGCCCCTGATTGCTTCAGACTCTTCTCCCTCTTTCCTTGTTTTGTTTTCACTCTCTTTCCTCCTACCCACCACAGTCAACATTATCTCACACAGCCAGCTCTTACCCAGACATGGTTTGTGGTCCCTTGTAGTGCCGGTTGGGATTACTTTGAGGGTGAGATGTTTGTACCAGGGCTGGATCTGTATCTTCCCTTTGACTTTTCCGTTAGAATATCTCTTAGTGGGGTTGTTTTCCAGTCTGGAATTTAGCCGTGGTCTGCGTGCCTGCCAGCTGGGCAGCAAGGAGCTTAGCTACTTGCTGTGACAGCCCTTTCTTTTCCTGGGACCTCAACCAAGGATCGGAGGTTTTGGTTTCTACAAGTATATGGAAGGCGTAGAAGTGCCTACCATTTCCAGCAGTCCTTTAAAGGCAGAAGTGGTCCTGTTGAAGTAATGCATTCAGGACAGTTTGGACAAAAGCAGAAATGAACTATAGTCTTTTCTTTCTGTCTTTCTCTCTGTCTGTCTTTCTAGCTTTCTGTCTCTCTCTCTCCCCCTCTCTCTTCTCTCTCCCTCCTTTCTTTTCTTTCGACCTTTGCTTATATTTACTTTTTCATATTAACCCATGGATCTTACCTCTAGCATCTTTTGTATGTTGCATGTTGAGCATTTTTTGTTGTATAACTGTTTCTGCCTTGAGCCTCCCACCATGCACAAACACTAAAGCTCTTCTTTCATATGGATTGTCTTAGTACCTAGCAAAGTACCTCCTCATTTCATGGAAAAGCCAGCTCTGTTCACAGTTGATTCATTTTGTACTGCATCTTAGCTACTCAGCTGATGCAGAGTAAATAACCTATTTTCAATTAATTCCCTAACTTAAGTAGAACACAGTTTTCTCATTACTTCTCTAGAGACACACAGTAAGTATTGGCCTTGGCCTTGAGGAGCTTCCCGGTGAGGGAACCTGGGTCCATACACACTTTTGTCCTAGTACTTCTTTCTTAGTGGTACAGAGAGGTGGGTAGTTGTGTTCCCCCCGCTTTTATCACCCATGAAACAAAAGATGTTACAAGCCACACCCCTAGGAAGCTTTCTTTCGATCAGATCAAGGCACTAATGGGGTTCAGGGGTATTATATCCCTCCCTTAATCCTTTTACGGTTACTTGGTTTATAAGATGATGGGTGGAGATATTACAAAACTTCACATTGCATCACTACAAAGACATGTTTTGGGAGAATACAAGTCTATCTCTGACAACAGTCTTCCTCTTTTTCTCTGACTCTCAACTTCACAAAACATAGTTCCTTCTCCCAGGACTGGCCCCTTCTGATTAACACATCCGAAGTCCAATAGACGGAGTTTTGCCAGCTTTCCATCTGATGGAGCACTCTGGTTGCACTTCTTGTAAGACGGATAGCTGTGTGTGCTCTTCTTAGTCCACCATATATTCATTATTCTTCACCTTATAACATAAATCAAAAGATAGTCGTTTTTCTTCAGTCTTCCTTAGGCCAAATTTGTTAAACTCCTCTCTAAGCTAAAGTGTCTCAAATATCTCAACTATTGGAACCAAATTGCGATGGATGCATTTCTTTTTATCAGTTTTCTAATTTAAATGTGTTACCTGAAAACATACACAATTCTTGACTGTGATTTGTCTAACACATAGGACCAAGACTGTCCCCATTTTTACTTTGAGTCAACTGTCTATTAATAGAGCTGAAAAGCATAAAGAGTGTTTGTGCACTGTATCTTGCTTTTTTAAGTGCATAGCATTGTCTGCTCCTCCTGAATTTAGTTCAATTCAGAATGAATCTCTCCTATCTTTAAAACTTTTTAAAGTGTGTTGTCCTCAACCAGTTAATTGTACCTCTTTGAGGTTCTTGATTTTACTATCAATAAATCTCTTAACACTCTATCTACCAAGTCACATGTCCCTTTTGTCCACAAAATTAAAAGCAGGGAATGATCTAAATACCTTTTCAATTACACAATACTGAATCTGTAGATTTCTTTGATGTACTTTGATGTCATAATCCTCTCAAGATCTCCTCCCTCTGCTCCATCAGAGTTCCTAGTCTACTTATTCGAGCTGAAAGCAGAATCTAGATAATAGACTTTTCTACTTAAGCGTGTTATCCCTCTGATTGAAAATAGAAAAAGTTAAGTAGTTAAGCTTTTGTTACTAAACAATAAAACCTCTAAAGTTTGATTCCCTTATATAATTTTATTCTATTTGCTCCCTTTTGCCTCTTACTGCACTGTTTCGATAAAACAAGTTTTCAGAAGGCAAGGCACTTAGTCTCAAAACAAAGATTGACCCCAAAACCCTACCACATAGCTTCCTAATGTCTGATTTTGATGGCAAAAGGGAAACCTTCCAAGGAAGACGTCCCCACTGAGCCACCTGAGCACAAGCAGGCTGTGGCTTCTCTTTGTACCTGTGGCACACGTGTCACTCCTAGGTAGCCTGTCACCTTTGTCAGCCCAGAATAGCACTTTCAGAGCTGAAGGGTACTAATTTGACAACATGGCCTTTATCTCTTAACTAATATTGAAAAAATTGAAATTTAAAAAACCAGTTTCTCACATGGAAAGAAATGACATTTTTACATTGTTGTATTGCTTGTCTTGTGTTTTTCAGAATGTGCAGACTTCCTAGACGTTCGACTGAACAGAGGGTGTGCATCATCACAAAGTGGCCTCAAGAGAGAATCCGGGAGTGATTCCGACCTCTTTCACTCACCCTGTGAGGAAATGGACAGTATCATCTTCTCAAAGGTATTGTTCACCAAAATAAATGATTTACTAGTCAAGTCATGATCCCGGGAGCTTTACTGGGCCTTGGCCAGGCTCCTATATAATCTCATAAAATAACTCGTTATTGTCAAGTCAGAGCCAACCCATGGCTGACCCTCCAGCAAATTGTCAGAGACTGTAAATCGCATGGGGAAAGATTACCCATCTTTCTCCCACGGAGCAGCTGGTGGATTCAAACCTCACTCCTTCGAGTTGGCAGCATACCTCCTTACCCAGTAGGCTGCCAAAGGGTCTATATGATCTTCTAAGAGTATAAAATGTTTCCTTAGGAAAACCCAAACTCCACAATTTCCAGGGCTTAAAAGAAGACTTAGAGATTTTGTTTTCTCTAGAATCTTGATTAGTTGCATGCAAGCTTTGAAACTAAAAGTTGAAACCTAAAGAAATTGAAGTTCCTTTTGTGTAAATGAAGTCAGAGAACAGTGACGACTTTTCAGTGGGCAGGCAGGGACCGCAGCTCAGACTGTATGAAGTCATGTGTATAAAGTAACCAGAGAGTCACTTCTGATTAATGTGTTTAGGTCTGAAATTCCCTGGTGAGTTGGTGATATCACCTCTCCTGGTCTAGTTTGCTTAACTGGAACCTTCTAGATCTCTGGTAAGGAACTTTAAGCTTTCTCCCTCGTGAACATCTCAGCCATATGAATCACTTGATGTTTGCATATCATTTGAGGCTGTCTAAGGTAGTGGGAGGCAGGAGATGGGATGCTCTTTTGTTTATGTTTGTATCTACTTGCAATGAATTTTGTTTTGTGAATAAAATTTTCTCACAGCAGAGATAGCAACTACACAGCACAGGTCTTTATACTGAAGTCATGAAGGGAAACGGGGAGAGCAAGCAGTCTCCACTTTAAGGAAGCCTGTTGTTCTGGTTTTGTAAGAGCCGTAGGGAAAGGTAGTGAGAGAAGTTAGATTAGTGACTGTTTAGGTTAGCCTAGACAGTGTGATACTGTTGTGTTTAAAAGTTAAGCTCTGGGATGAATTTAAACTTCTGAGAATATACCATCAGGACCTTCCTTTCATTTGTCCAAGACTCTCGGGTCCCTTCTTAGCCCTTTTTTGTCCTCATTATCTTCCAGGACAGCTCAGATGGCACAATGATACAGAACTCAGCTGCTAGCCGAAAGGCAGCAGTTTGAACTTGGAAACTGCACCATGGTGGAAAAACTGAAGCTGTCCAATTCCTACAAGGGAGCCCTGATGGCCTAATAATAAGGAGTTGCACTGCCAACTCAAAGGCACGGGGTTTGAAACCACTGGCTCCCTGGGGGAGAACTCCGGGCAGTTTCCTCCAGTGCAGTTTACTGCCTCTGGACACAGTCTGTAGAGTCAGTCTGAGTCAGTTCCAACACGAGGCCACATAACAGCAACTTCCTAAAAAGACAAACTCCTAGTGTGGGACAGTTGTACTGTGTGCTTTAGGATTGCTGTGAATCAGAATTGACCTAATGGTAGTGGGATTTGGGTTTTGATTTATCTTGTGGGGGTTATTTTGAAATTTTAGAAATGTAAGAATTTCTGTTATTGTTACTTACAGGGCGTTGATGCCAAGGGACTTTGTAAAGTGAAAATCCACATGTTCTAAACATCTACCCTTCTTCCTTCTCTGAAGTTATTTACAATGAGGGAAACATAAACATTTCTTTTTATTATATATCAAAATTTAGGTGATTTCCAGTGTAACTTTGAGATGTCCATTGTAAAATCTTCTAAAGGTCATTTGTAATACCTGGGGGAATTACCATTCTGAAGGAAGAGGCCTCTGTGACACATAGCAATATTTTGTCTGAAAATAAACACATTCAGCCATATTTCCAGCAGACAATTTGTGTAGTAAAAAGTTTTTCTTAAGAATTGAAGTGTCTTCATTAAGAAATACTCACTGCTTCATAGGTACATGAGACTTTGCCCACCTGGGTGTAACCATCTCTGCAAAATACTGAAGTGAATGGTTTTTCTGACTGAAAAGAGTTATAATTTCCTGTACATTACCTTTTCATTTAGTCTGTGAGTAGCATTTTGGAGACTGTTGGTACAGAAGGCCTGTGCTCGAATTGTCAGTTCATTCAGGTTGACTTGTGTACTTACTGTCAGGTCGGAGCTGACCCGCCAGCAGGTTTTCAGAGGTAGTGTATCCCAGAGGAGATTAACCATCATTCTTCTGTGGAACATCTAGTGGATCTGAACGCCATGCCTTCGAGATTTCAGCTCAGCCTCTTAACACCAGGACACCACAGCTCCTAATAAATAGGGGGAAGAATTAACTTTAAAGAGTGCACTGGAGACATTTTCCCTTAGAGTATTGTGATTGTTATAGGCCGTCAAGGTGGAACTGACTCATAGCTGACCCTCCAGTGGCTTTTCAAAGGCTATAAATCTCAAGGGAAGAGAATGTCTATCTTTCTCTAGTGACTAGACAGATAGGATTTTAAACTTAAATGTGCTCTCCACATGAACTTGTACATTCCTTTTTCTCTCTTTCATGTGTGCCCAGCGCCTAAGGGGCCTTGGAAGAGGCCAGGAGGGCCTGTCCTCTTAACCTTTCCACTCTTCCAGTGTTGACTGTGACCAGGACGAAAAAAAAATAAATGTCTCTAATATTAAAAACAAAGGGCTTATTACGAATGGAAAAGCAGGGAGCCAAATTAATATTTGTATGGTGCTTACTCCATTCTAGGTTCTGAACTGAGTTTGTTCCGTTAGATGCTCTCATTTCATACTCCTGGCAACTCTGTTGTTGTCATGCACCGTCTAGACAAAAACAACCCATAGCAGACCCTGCAGTGGATTTTCAGAGGCAGGAAGCCACCTGAGAGGAAAGTGACCACCCTTCACCCATGTAGCCCCTGGTGTATTTGAACCACATGCCTTTGAGTTGGCAGCACAGCTCCTTACCATTAGGCCACCCGAGCTCCACAGCAACTCTCCTAGGTAGTTCCTTTATACTGCTTTTAGAAAATGGAAGCTCTGACTGCTCAAGAAGTTTACCCAGAATTTTGTTGTTGTTATTGTTGTGTACTGTAGAGTTGGAACTAGCCTGTAGCTGACCCTCTGGCAGGTTTTCAGAGGCAGTGAATCGCAGGGAGGAGATTGCCCATCCTCCCGCACAGCAGCTGGTGGACTCGAACTGTGTGTCTTCGGGATTGCAGTGCAGCCTGTTGCCACTAGGCCACCAGAACTTAGGCAGTTGTAAATGTTAGCCTTTGTGCCTCACTTAGCCTGATCCTACAACCTGTTTATTTTCTGGTATCTTTTTCTCTCAGTTTTCCGCACACTTTCTACATACTTTCTTTTATGTCCAGTGGTTAGTTTAGAAGCATTGCAGTGACCAGCTGTCAGCTACTTCCTTCAAGGTATTCCTTTATGATCATGGACACAGCGTGTGCTGTGAAATATCAGAATGTCCCCGAGATTCTCCTTGGGGTCTAGCCCTCCTCTCTTCCTTTCTCTGAAAAATAATCTGTAGGCAAGATATTGCAACATCCTTTTCTGTGAACCATGAGTGGTGCATTAGATCACTTCCTGCAGGCACTTTTATGACTCTGGCCTTACAGAAGCCTCTTGAACAGACTGTGGTGTTTGTCATGAACTCGTCCCTTTAACTTTTTCTTTCCATTCAGTATGATTCTTGATGAGTGTTAGGTGATTAGTGTTTATTCTCCTGGACATTTTCCAGTTCCTAAGGTCTGCCTTTTCCTTAGCTCAACTGCTTAAAATTTAATTTTGTTTTAAGAGAGACGAAATCCTTGAGATGTTTTTTGGCAATATGTAAGAGAGAAAGTGTGATCATATAATATATATGATGTAGGCCACCCTGTAATCTCAAAGAATAATTGAAGCTCACAGAAATGATTAATAGTTGCTGCCTTCTTTTCCAAAGAAAGAGAAATGAGAGCCCTTATACACTTGTTTTTCTCCAAGTTATAAAAAAGTATCCACAGTTGATTAAAACAATCAAAGTATATCCCCTGGAACTGCTGCTCTGAGATAATCTTTAAACCTTGAACCAGAAATGGCCTCTGAATCTTTTTGAAACCAAACAACAACTTGGCTGAAAGGAGGGGAAAAAAGTCTGCCTTAAACATTACACTCTTTCAAGAACTGTCTGTATGGGATCAAATTGACAACTGCACCCTCAGGACATAGATGAGAAGCTTCTGTGAGTTTTATGTAAACAGGCGGAGGCATCTTAAATTCCGTAAGGTGCTGAACACTAAGGGAACATTTCCCTTATGTTGTTTTTTTCTCCCAAATTATTCAAAACACAAAGGCAAAAATGTATTTTTTTAAAAATATGTAACCTTTTGGCAATAAAAAGGGGATATATTTACAGGATCTAAATTAGGAAAACCTTACTTCCCTGTGTCAAGTGAAAAAAAGAAGTCATTTCTTAGAGTCATAACTGACTCATAGCTGACCCTCCAGCTGGTTACCAGAGGCTGTAAATCACATGAGAGGAAATGGCCCATCTTTCTCCCCTCAAACAAGTAGTTCATTTGGACCAAATGCCATTGTGTTAGCCGTGCAACTCCAAGTACTAAAAGTATTAGAAGCTCAGAATTGTGAAGCAGGGCTAATGGTTGATACCAGAATACTTAGAAGTCTTATATAAAATATTCCACATTACATCGCTGTTAGTCTTGTCAGCAGGTCAGCCCCAGCTCACAGCTGGAATCCTTACACAAGGATGATCCCTGGTCCTCCAAGTTGGAATTATGTTTTCATTCATTGTACAGCCACAGCATCAGTCCCATCTCACTGAGGATCGTTTACATTTTCGCAGAGCCTCTACTCTACCAAGCATAAAGTTCTCCGCCAGGAATCGAACCCTCATGATACCATGTCCATTCTTAAAAAGTAACTCTCTCCATCCTTACTTTTTAAAAAATTGTTTTATATTGGTTTGCATACACAATTTGTATACATTGTGTTTCATTTGTATACATTGTGCTTCACATATT